GCACGTGGCGGGAAAGATAAAAATTGCGTCCAATTCGCGGACTATGATCATCGAAATCAAGTATATTAACTCAAAAAATGCTGCAATACACACGGAAAATTGTAAACTTTCGTTAAACTTAAGTTGCAGCCCGAAAGAATCACAAAAGATGATTATGGAAAAGTGTGAGTTGAGGATTCTGCTGCGAAGAGTGGGTTTGCGGACCATGCACTGGAAATGTTTTATGTGGACCACATTGAGCCAGGTAACCCTAAAAAAAGCGCCTTTTGTATTGCGAAACAATGATCAGATCGAAATGCTTAGAGAGAGTGAATCAGGCTCCTTGTTCACCCGAGAGATTCAGCGAGTACCATCTTTCAAAAGGAACAATATACATCGTGTTTGAGAGTTCATCGTCTTCAACCTCACGCTCAGCGGCTGCAACTTGTTGTGACACTGCTACCTACACGAGCAACACAGACAATGACTTGGGTAAAACACCCAAAATGCCAACAAAGACTATTGGGAGGAAAAGTGGGGAGCGAATTGCCCAGAAATGATGAGGCAGAAATGAGAGTGTGGTCAAAACGACATGGCAAGCGTGTAAGGCAGCGAAGTGTACGACAAGACAACACCACGGACAGAGCTGGGACACTGCCTCTGAATTTGTATGAAACACAGACATTGCTTAATCCATTAGACTTGCAGTTTTTACTTCCTCATGCGCAAAGCTCAGTGCCGGTGGAAAGTGCAGAACGTCCAGATGGTAAGTCTGATGAACAGCCTGCGGAAGTTCTCACCTGCACTGATCAACGTGACGAGTACAGCAGCAGTGAAAGAGGAGACAGTGAGTCTGACGAGGATTGTGCAGATGATACAAGTGGTTTCAAAATGGTTATGCCAACAAGGACTGGAAGGCAAAGACTGCTCAGCAGAAGAATGAGAGATTTTCTTCAGTCCAGGTGAAGGTATGTGTGTATCCAAACGACGTCAGTCCGCGCTTTTAATTAATTATATACATCAGTTTGCAAACAATAACTGGGAATGGAATTTTAGATTTGGCAACTGGGATTTGGACCAAATTTAAGCCGGGAACTGGGATTTTGCAAAAATTTGGGCTGGGAACTGGGATTTGGTACCCCCCTTCATGACCCTCTTCATTCACTCAGTTGCAGAAGGCGTGAAATGTTCAGCAAAGCTAGTACTTCGGTTCATGGAAACCTTTCTCGTTTCTGACAATTTTCCAGAATATATAGGACTGCGAAGAATATTACGGAAGCAAAAGTTGTCGACTCGCTCGCTTTTCACACACGTTCAGTTCAACTTAAAACGTGAACTTCGCGTCACGAATTTTCCCGCCTTTTCATACCATCACGTCGTTTAGATCAAACTGAAATGTCCACATAGCCTAGTCGATTAATAAAACAATTATTCCATTCGCCACCCTTGTTGGACACGAGATGATAAATAATGGTAATTGAACTGAGTGGAGTGCAATTTGGTCTGAAATCATACGCGTGATTTCAAAATTGAACGAGCGCGCAGCGCGAGTTCGATTTGAAATCACAAGTATGATTTCAGACCAAAATTGCACGACCCGAAGTTCAATTGCCACTTCATTAATTCCATTTTGAAATCGCACAATTTTATCGCCTTAAATGTTAGATTCAGTAGCCGGCGTTAAAATAGCGGAACCGGAAACGGCTCGACATCTCATTTAGTATGCAAAACAATGTCATGTGACAAAAACTCATTCGAGCATAACAAAGAAACAAGCAGTTCTGAAGTCAGAACGAAAACAGTGTACTTCATGCATCAAAGTTCAATTATCGTCCCGAGTCGATGATGTAAGACCTTCCTTTTCTTCTGTGAATGAGGCTGAGACTTCTAGTTGTCTTTGGAGATGGAATTTAAAGGTGCAGCTAGTGTAATTCTGCGATGAATTACTTTTGAGTTGTGAAACTCCCTCGAGTGCACAATGCCCAGTGGATAGTTTTTCTGATTGGTTGTTTTGTTTTACTATCCTATTCTCATTGGCTGAGAAAAAGATGCGATTTAGAGCAAAAAATAGTGCGATTCATGAATAAATCGCACTGCTGAAAGCCAATCAGATTGCAAGGATAACCAGTGATTTCAAAATGGATTTAATAAATGGATTTCTCAATATTTATTTCATCATCTCTTATCCAACCAGGATGAAAAAAAAAAGTGGGAAAAAATGTCAATTTTTCCATGAGTGACTCGTAAACTGCACCATAACCACCTCACATACAATGATCACAAATAAATGTTGAATTGTCTTGGAAAATACTAAAATAACTATACTCAATTGGTTTTTTAAGGTGCATCACATCGAACTATACAAAGCAATGTATGAAGAGGCAAAATCGATGAAGTGTTCTTCACTTGGGCTGTAAGTTGCACGAAACGAGAGAAGAAATTGTGCAACTGACCTAAGCATTTCAACGAAGACTAAAATTCGTTCTACACACACTTCAAAACATGAATGAAGTGAAAAGAACGTTAAAATTAAGTCACATAGATAACAGCCGATAACAGGCCTAATGTGATTGGTTTATTTATGATTGTGTAATCAACATTCATAACTGCATATGCTAGGTATCGTGTTGTCCGAGAGAAAAACCATGGAAAAGAATCGAGTTCGTATTTGCCGCAATTACGGACAACTCAAACAGCAGGTGTTGATCAACTTTTATTAGCGATTTCCATAATACGAAAGATTAAAAAAATTTTACAGTGAAAGAGGGTGGTAATAGCGGGGGCTCCAAGTCACGTTTCACACAAAACGTAATGATCATTTCAAGCTTATCATAGCTAACGATCACGTAATCACGTGTAATTATGCCACAGATTACAGTTCACAGAGCTCGTGATTCACGGATAGCTTTACTGAATTCTTTAGCAGATCGCGTTTCGTGAGGAATAAAAGACGTCAGAAAGTGCCACTTTTCGGTCCAAAATATCTTTTACTATCCTTGTGGAACCAACATGTGATAAGGAATTTCGTTGACTCCTAGCTAGATATTTCTATTAATTCTACTTACATTCAATTTTTCTATACACTACTCGCATATTGTTTGGGTTTGCTTATTTGTTTGTCAATTCGTAGAATCATATAAATATATACATGCATTTAAAATTAAATAAGTTAAATCTTGTGCAGACGGATAGTACAATAATAAGCACTGGTAAAGCCCTGCAAAAATTTAATTGTCTTGAAGTATAAATACGTTATCTTATCCGAAGTGAGCAGGCTAGAGCTGTAACATTGTCTAGAAATCCGGCGTTGTTGTTTGATTTTTCCCTAAATTATCTCTCATATAACAAAACACTAACACTTTCCCCTCTGCAAAGTACGCTTGTGAACAAGCAAATATAATTTAATTTGGCACTAAATTTGGCATGTTCTTTACCATATCCTTTCAACATATATATTAACATATAATTTCTTATTACAACTATCAATAGATTTCGAACAGTGCTAGTAAGGAGATAATTTTGTAAATCAGTTCAAGATAATCAGTTTAAACGAAAGTGAAGGGGCAACAACAGATTATAAATATGAGTAGAAAATACTCAACACATTTGGTGTGCTACAGATATCGTTTAGTTCACCTGCGGGAAACTAATAGCCCTTCTCACCGTGAGTTTTTGTCATTTGCATTACAACGGTAATTCAACGTGGATGCGAGGCAATTCCGGGTTCAAATAGCCCGAAATTGCCCCACATACATGCTAGATTATGTTTTGATGCAAATGAGAAAGTGAACCGTACAAAGGGCATAACACCAGTTTGGCGTTAAACCATCGTTGTGCCAACTTATCGCTGGATGAACTAACGATAAACTACCACAACAGTGCGGAAACTTCATTTGGACTAGCGTTAAATCTTACGATTCGCAACGCATGGCTAGCATTGGTCTAACATGGGTCTAGTAGTGAACCAACAATAGAGCAAAATTAGCGCAGTACTATTGGCTAGACTAGAATTCGCCAAACAATAGGACGTTTCCGAATTACCTTTAGCCTCGGTTTTAAAGCGAGTCTTGGTGCCTATCCTTTCATATAAAAATGAGATTTCATTCACATGCAAATTAAACTCATTTTCATATGAATGGCTGTGCACCAGGCCTCGCCTTGATAAAGAGGCTTGGCGCAACTCGGAAATGGGCTATTTTAATTTTTTTTTTTTTTTAGATCAATTTCAGCAAAAGTAATATTGGACTATTGTAAACGCACTGGCTGGTACTGGTTATCTAGTCGTCCAGCTGACACAGCATGGCGACTCCCCGTACAACCCAGTGATTCTCTGGTCTCTTGGACGGTAGGTTGATAGAAAGCACGTAATTAGTCGAGTGCCCAGTCGTAGATAGTACGCCACGGCGAGCACTGGTTTTGTAAACTGAAACAAAAAAACAGACGTGTCATTGCCATTAGTACGAGGAGATAAATTATTTTATAGCGATTAAATTTTATAACATCGTGATACTGACGAGGAAATAAGTCCAATGTTCTGCACCAAACTTTCATAACTCAGTAAGCCATTTCCGTTTTGCTGATACAGTAAAAACCCCGCGTATAAGAACCTAAAATTTCCCTGTTAAGCCATAAGAACCATTCCAGGCTAAAAACTCAATACAGGTTCTTATTTTCAAAATAAAGAGTTTTTTTCAAATGTGATATTGCCCATCAAACGCGATAAAAAAAAAGGTAACAAAAGCTACCCAGAGCACTGGCAGTGTTATAAAACCACAATACAGTACTGTGAATGATTTAATATAAAGGTCACACCCATAAGTACAAGTTGTTTTTTAAAACAAAAATAAAGAACCTGATTAAGAACCTAGGTAGCCTAATTTCACAGTAAACACCATTTATATAAGAACCTATGGAGGCTAACTTGAAAAAACCTAGGTTCTTATGTTGTACCTCTGTTTCAAAACGTGTCTTGGTGCACAACCTTTTGTTATGGATATGCGTTTTTCTTGCAAGTTCATTGTCTTTTAAACAACTTCATTTCCATATGAAAGGTTGTGCACCAGGACATGTTTTGAAACAGAAGTAAAAAGCAACTTGGCAATGGCTTATTACATCTGCCCTTTCTTTCAATAAATCAGTTCTCAGGTTATTCGTTACTTCGACCCTTCTCTTTTTTTTTATCACTTTTTCAGTATATGTTTCGCCTACACTGACAAATTCTGTTCCGCATATCTCTTATTCTTTGTGTCGTTTTCTCTTGTTAATTCCCCATTCGCTCGACCATCCTTTCATTACTATTTCCCCCTCGCGTGAACTTTA